CAAACCATTAAATACAAAAGGGTTTTTCTTGAGAATTGGCAGAGAAAAGAGTTGTTGTCAATTAAAAAAACAATCCAAATGCTAATGCCAGAATGATTAAAGAAATGTTTCTACAAAAAATTGGTGTCAATACATCAATAGAAACTGTCAGAAAACTAATTTTGAAATATCAAAACGAAGACTTTGAATTTACCAGAGACACTCAAAAAATAGAAAAAAGTAAAATATCCGTTATTGCAAAGCGAGATTGTAAACACAATAATTGATGCTGATAAGGAAGAATTGGACCGCTTGATACTTTCTGATAAAATGTTAGAACTTTTTTATTTATCCTAATAATTAATATTTAAAATTATTTGATTTTTATGTTATAATACCAGTAAATTGATTTTGCCGTGTTTTTTATATTAAAGCCGTTTTTATTTAATAATCGGGTTTTGTATTTTATTGCCAAGAAGACCAAAGTCTAAAATTAGATAATATAAGCAGTCAACTACATAATAAGTCTTCTTGACAATAAGTCTACTAGACAATAATGACTGTATTATTATATGAATTTATACATATAACATATTCTTTTTATATGATTTTTTAAAATTGTGCATTTTAAATCACATAATTAATTGTAAAATAATATTTTGATTTAATAAACTTCAAAATAACATGAAAAGAGTATTAACAAAAGATCAATACGAAATTTATATTCCCGAAAACAATCCGGATTCTACAAAGAAAAGACACCCGATAGTTTATGCGGAATACCATAAATTCAAATGTCTAAATGAAGACAGAACACTTTCAATACAAGTTCAGTTTCCTAAAGTTGTATATGCCATGGAGGGCTGCAAAACATCAAAAGGATGCAAATGTAAACTAACCGTTCTGGATGATGGAATAATTGAAATAACATGTGAACATCATCCTGTAAGTGCCCACCAAAAAGATCTTGAAAATTGGAGAAAGTTTGAGGTAAGAAAATATGTTATTTGGCTTATTACAGAAAACAAAACACAATCCCCCGAAATGATATGTAATGAAATCATCAAAAAATAACAATTGACGAATATGCACCTTCTACTCATTATATAAAAACTTTGATTTCTGATGTAAAAAGGAAGGAATTTGGTAAACTTCCAGATTGTGCAAAAAATTTAATCTTGAAAGAAAGTATGATACACACAATTACAAACACTTCCTTTTTATTGTTTGATACAACTTACAATAACAATCTTGGTAAATCGAAAAGAATTATAGCATTTTCAAGTCAAGAACAAATCAAAATGTTTACTTTTAACAATTGTACAGTTTTAGGGGATGGCACTTTTAAATACGTACCTTCAATATTTACACAATTGTACACATTACACGCCGTCATAGATTCGTGTTCTTTTCCTGTAATTTTTATTTTAATGGAAGAAAAGACAAAACAGGCGTATAAAGTTATTTTTGAAAAATTGCGCGATGATTTTCAAATTGTATTTCACAACTTTATGAGTGATTATGAAAAATCCGTTCGTTGTGCAGTCAGAGAAGTTTTTGGTGAACAAGTGTGTGTTGTAGTGTGTTGGTTTCATTTTAATCAATCTTTGATCAAAAGAATGAAAAAAAGTTGGATTACAAAGTTATTACCAAAATAATATTATTATTCACAGCTTCTTAAAAAAGTTTTTTGGAATACCTTTTCTTGAAATAGAATTTATTCCAAATGTTGTAAAACTGTTAACAGATGAAATCGACAAATTTACGTTAAAAAATGACGAAAAACTTAAATTGCATATATTTGTGGATTATTTTAACAAAACTTGGTTAAATAAATTACCACCGACAGAATGGAGCCAACTCCACGATCTCAAATTTAGAACTAACAATTGGGCAGAAGCGTTTCATTCATCGTTCAGTAAAAGGTTTTACCGAGCTCATCCTAACATTTACCTATTAATTGAACAACTCAAAAATGTCGAAAATAGATTTTTGAACGATTTCAATTCTTTTTTACATTACAGAGAACATTATTATAAGAACAACTTTTTTGTAAATTATGAAAACAAATTAAAAGAAATAATTGAGAAAAAAGAAATAAGATGGAACGGAAATCCGCTCAAGTTTCTGGAAGTAGTTTCAGATGTTCCAACTAAAATAACACTCGAAATTGAACAAACAGTCAACAAGTCAAATAAAAATAATAAACTTACTCTTATTGAAAATGTTATTGAGAGCAACGAACTTACAAGAGTATCAAGTTTTGAATCTTTGATTGAATTTGGAGAAGAAAATATTGATAGTTCAAATGTTAAAACCAAGTTTAATTTGTTAAAACAAAATCAGATGAAACAAAAACTTAAAAAAAGAGAAATACTGAAAGCAAAATTGTGTTCCTGATTAACATTAAACAATAACGTAAAAACTCCAATAAATTCGAAAATAACAAATGAAAACATTTTGTACATTACTGAAATTCAAAATACAACAAATGAGAGAGAAAAATGTTATTCTGAAACGTTGTCCTTGATTCCGGTTGATAGTTCATCAGAAAGTTTAATTTTCGATTATAACAACGAAGAATGTACTCAAGACGTATCAATATTTTCTGCAAATTATACAATAGAAATAGAAAAACTAGACAAATGGCGTTAACAACTTATGATATTAAGAAAAAACTTGTTTATAACGAAAAAGAGGTATCACAAAAAACCATGAAACCAAAAAAATAAGATAATGCAGTTTGGTTTATTTTTAATGATTGAAAACATTGTTTAAAAATACAAATAATTTTATTTTACTATTATTATTATTTAATAATAATAATAAAATACGGTAATATTTTTAATTGAACTTATAACGATATTCTTATTTTAATTAATCAAAAATCAATTAATTGAATATGATATTGACGCCAATAGTTTGTTTCAAAAACTTACAATTAACTATAATAAGTTTGATATAATTTATTTATTTATTTTGATAAAAATGTATTTTAAAGACATATTCTAAAATTAGAAAACAAAAAACGAAAAATAAAGCTATTAAATTTACTCTATTTCTGCAACGCTAAAAAATATTTACCCCTTTAAACTTATTAATTGGCACATTAGAAAAATCGTCTAATGAAAACCACACTTGCTCTCTAAAAGTGGGAAAAGATTCTTTTTTATTTTTATCTCAAGGTCTTGGAAAGCTTTGAAAATAATAGGGCAATTAATTATGTATTGTTCAGCCTTTTGACTAACAGGAATTTTCGGACCAATCATTTTCAAACTTTTATGTTTTTCGGAATTTTTTTTATATTTTTTCTTTAATTGAAAGGGCTTGGAAGAAGGTTGGGACATTGTTCAAAAAGGTCTATAAAAAAGTTTATTTTATAGGCTATTGATATTGTGATTTATATTATTGTTAAATCTTATTGATTAATTATTATTTTTATTTCGAAATTTAACAAGAGTTTTTTAATCCAACAATTCTAAAGTTACTTTGTTTTGTTGAGTAGTTTATAAATCGTGCCGATTTCGGACACCCTTTGGGAATCCTCAATCCTCACAATTTCGTCGCTTCGCTCCGTTATTTGGATTCAAATATGTTAGGGTTATTATTTTAAAGTGATAATTTAATTTTTTGTAAGTCTAAAATGACAACTACTATGGAACGTATTATTAAAGCTATTAAAAAGAAGTGTGTTCATATTACGGAGATAAATAATCACGAAGTTGATTTATACTTTAGAGTTGAATCTAAAGAGTTATTTCAAATTAAGGACAACACTGTCAAATTAATCAAACCTAGAGTTAGTAAATATAGTGATGATTGGGTTAGATATAATATCGAAGATAATAACCATAAAGGAATGACATTTAGTAATAAACCACTAAAGAAATATCATGTTGATGATGATTGTAAAAATATAGATGAATTTTTAGAACAATTCATATAAACTCTCATATTATTTTATATGTTTTTAGTATTTCTCAGAGGTTATTAGATGTTATCATATGTTGTCATACTTTCTTAAATTATTTCAAATTAATTATTTTTAATTTTTATATAATAATCTCAAATGATTTCAAACCAAAAAAATAAGACTAATATATGCTGGGAACATATAAAAGTCTATTAAATAATTGGTTACGAATAAGTTGTCTTCATTTAGAATTGAATTTTTCTAGTAAAGTTTTCTCTTGTTTTAATATCAAATGTCTTACTAAATTCGAAACTATGTTTTAATTCTAGTAAGTTAAATGTATAAGATTCTCCCGCGTAGAGTTTCTTATATAATTCAATTGGATTTTCGTTATTTTCCAATAAATTGTTTGGAATTCCTTTCATTCTCATGTGTAAAGCATGTTCTTGTTTATCGTTTGTTAATACATCTATATAAGCTTTCTTACCCAAGAAGTAAGATTCTTTTGAATATACATCTCCAGATAATTCATCAAAATCTGGATGGAATTGTTTTAATTCACCTCCTCTTAATGTTTTACCATATATTTCTTTATATTTTTGTTCTAATAGTTCTATCTTATTTTTGTCTATATGCACTGAATCAGTATCTTGATAATATGTATCTATATTTAATTCTTCTGCTAAACACATTACTTCATTCATTATTCTCTTACTCATACTTAATATTTGTACACCAATGAGATTTGGAACATAGAAGTCATCAAATGGTTTATTTGTTTCAAAACATCTGATATTATCTGATATGTCATACATAGATTTAACTAATGTAAAGTTCTTTTTAAGATATCTATCTGAATCACATTTTCCTTTATTATTGATATATTTGTAAACCAAGTTATTTTTGATTGGTTTTTGAATCGTTTTCCCATATGATGAATTCATCAATAATTAATAATTGTTTTGTAAAGGATTACCTTCTTTTTAAGTTGAGATCTTAAATTGTATATCTTTTCAATCTCGTTACTAAACACATTAAATTTACAACCAGTCCAATAATATCCTCTAATAATATTAAACTCTATTTGTTGAAATTTAATCATATCTTCAAGCATAATATTATTTACTCTCATTGTACAACATTCATTAACATTGTGATTACCTTTTTTATCTTTCTTAGTTATAATTGGGAAGTGTAAATGTTTGTTAACCTTGGTTATTTCTATATCTACAATAAATGCTGATATATAACGTTCATTTGTTGGTTCTAATTGTTGTTCTAACATTAAGTGGTTTAATATAGTTTTATTACATGATTCTTGTGGGATTACTATAGGTTTTCCAGTTGCTAATTTTAGCCTATATATAACTCTAGGCTATACATATAACGAACATGCGTCATAATCATATAAATCTTTAGTAACATGTTGTTTTGTATTATCTCTACACATATTTCTACCTCCATACACTTCACCCTGTATAATTTCTCTAACTTTCCCAGAATATTGCATTAAGTTTGGAATTTGTGTGTAAACATGTAATTTGAAATAGTGATTAGCTAAAGCAGATATACTAATAAAGTTGTCAACATCTATATTTAAACTTTTCAAATTAATATTTCGGAATTTAATATGACCTTCTTTTAATATTCTAACGTCTTGAAAACAGTAGAATTAACAATATAATCTCATATCGAACTTGTCGTTATCCACTAAACAATTATTGATTTTAGATGTATTCTCTTTAAATAATTTATATTGTTTTTTATTCCATTTTTGAGATTCATATTCACCAGCTTCTGAAATTATTCCAACGTTATTTTGAATTCTATCTGCGTTGTAGTAATTATAAAAATATAATTCATTTTGAATATTAGATAAATCAAACATATTAGGAAAATCTGATAACTTATTTGAAATCATTGAATAACTATCTTTCAAAACAATTCTTTTTTCATGATAATTTAGTTTCATTTTCATAGTTTTACCGTCTTTCTTAATACACGTCTCAATTCCATATTTTGCTCAGAAACACGAATCATATTTCAAATTATAAAAAAACAACAGAATTATTATCTAAATCAGATAAGAAGTCTTCTACACATTCATTTCCATATTTACATGAAATTTAAGATGAATTTCGTCTAGAATAAGCAACACAATGTGCTTTATGAATTCCTTGTGTGCTAGCTTCGAAATCTGCATAATAGTAAGTATAAATTTTACATTTAGACTTTTTATTAGTTTTTTACATTGTTATTGGTTTAACTTCGAAATCTAGATAATCTAATGATTCAATTGATTGTTTAACATAATCAGATAAATCAGATGGTAAATGAAGCACATCACTAAGTGAATATAGTTTAAACCCGTTGTAATTTCTAATATAAAAAATAAGTTCTGATAATTTTATAGAAGATTTAGCTCCTGGTTTGGTTAAATATAAATTTCCTTTCTTTCTTTGTTTATTAAACATAGATTCAAGATATTTGTTGTGATCTAATGCCCATTTATTCATTTCAACTCTATTCTTAAGATAAAATGGAGGAATAGGAATATCAACATCTAAGAAATAATGATCACCCTTTATATTTGAATCTTCAAATAAATACATACTAATTTCAGTAGCTTCTTCATTATCTGAACCTATATATTTCATTATTGTATTAGCATGATCTTTACGCTTTAATTCTTCACGTTTTATTTGAATTCTAATGTTACATGATTTCGAAACTTCATCTATCAATTTAATCTTCTGATATCTTGAATAACAATGTACAATATAAATTGGTATAAATCAATAATTTTCTCATCCATTTTAGCTTGTTGTAAAGCATATATTAAACAATTATTATTTAATTCTGGTCTTATCTTTCCATTTTTAACACTAAGAGAATCAAGTATTTGTGCTATTTCTAAATATTTAGAGAAACATTTAAATTCTTCAGTATAATGATAAGCAAAGAATGCTGCACCATTATTTTGATATTCTTTAATTTCGTTTTTATAATCATATTCTTCAATTATTAATTCTGTAATAAATAAAGGTTCTGGAACTTCATGTTGAACATAAAATGCAGAATCTGAACTGTTTTCAATTTCATATTGATTATAAAAACCAAGAGTTTTGTTTGATATTGATTTAAGAAAATCATCTATATTTTCTTTAGAATTTAACATATATGTCTTCCAAGTTGTATCAGTAAATCGATATTTATAAACTAAATTTGCTGTTGAATCCAGTTTTTCAATTAATTGTTTAAAGAACTGCCTAATCATACTAATTCGTCTTAATTTTTCTTCAAATCCACAATTAAGATCAGCATGAATTTTATTATTATCTACGTCATATGTTACACCTTTTGTTTTATATTCATTATCATTTATTGATCGTTTGTATGGCTAATATTCATCATAAATTTGATCTCTGTTATCATTTTCATCTATTTGTTCAATATTATTGTTTAACTCCATTCTAAATTATTTTTGATATTATAATAATTATTAATCATGTATTCGTTTTCTCTTTTATTCTTAAGTTGTTCATTAACATAATTATAATATTCTTGAGATATTGCTTCATCGTCTATTTCGGTATTATGTTTTAAACTCCATTCTAAATTCTTTTTATCAAGTTCTTTTTCATCATCTAAATCTTTAATTAATGTTGCTTTTTTATTAATTAATCCAAAAGTTTGTTTATCATTTTTATTTAATTTATCAAAAACTTTTCTTAAAAATAATTGCTCTAAAGGCGCCGCTACGTATTGTTCTAATTTTTCTTTATAATCAAGATAAACATTTCTAGATTCAATATTCATTTTCAATAATTTTTTTCTACATTCTCTTTTTAAAATTTTAGTAGATGCTGCTTTAATAATTCTATCTTTAATTCTAAAACAATCCAAAATTTCTTCTTCGGAATAAGTTTTTAAAAATTTGTAAAAATTCTTTTTTAAGTATTCTTGTGTAGTGCTCATTTAAGATAAGAAAAAATAAAATTATCACTTTGAAATAATTAAACCTAAATAACGGAGCGAAGCGACGAAATTACGAAGATTGAGGATTCCCGAAAAGTGTTAGAAATCGGCACGATTTATATACTTCTGTTGCGATATAATACCTCTTATATTTTTATTGTTAGTAAAGTTAAAGAATTGTTTTTATAATTTACTTGTATATTATCAAATGAAAAATAACTTCGTTATTATTTGTTAAATTTGTTGTTTATTAATATTATTTTTAATTAATTTAAATAATGGGATTATGCCAAAAAGTCCAAACCTGAAAAGTCCAAAAAATATTATATAAGTAAGCCAAAAAGTCCAAAATATTATAATTATAATAAAATTATAATAAAATTTAAAAACCCTAAAAAATCGAATTATTTTTAAAAATATTTGAATAAAACGATAAAATGTGATTAAAATTTAAACATTTGCCAAAACAATTGGTATTTGCGATAAAATATTAATAACAAGAAAATAGTTTAAAATGTTATAATGTTATAAATTATATATAAATTTGAATTTAACTAAAACAATTAAAATACAAAACTATGTATTATTTAAAAGTTTCACCAAACAAATAGTGATATAACAACTAAAAACATTTTGTTGTTACTGATACATTAAATAAATGAATATAACTTGAAAGCACGATTTATATGATATCATTTAATAAATTATAAACTAATTAAACATATTTTAACCCTGAAAACGCATTTTTAACAGGTTTTATTTTTTGTGTATTTTTTTCTGTTAATTTATTTCACCATAATACCGTTTTTGCTTCAATCTATTTTTTGAATAACTAAAACTTAGCCTTACTATTTTTTATTAATATCAAACCATTTACTTTGAAAGTATTATTATGATAATATTTTCATTTGATTTTATAAATTAATTATGATATTAATGAAATTATACCATTTTATCAATAGCAAATAACGACTTTGTAAAAGTACCAAGGTTTTACTGTTTTCAAACAACAACGAAAACGATGTTGTCCCGAAGATGATAGTTGGAGTAATAGTTCTTTACTTTCGACGTATTGTTTAAGAAACAATATTCACAATTATTTTTTTGTCAAATTGAATATGTTTGAAAATATATATTATGTTTGAAAGAAAATATACAACGGTGTTTGTTTCAATAGTCTAATCGATTTTGTTATTCCGCTATTTTTTATCACTAATTAATAATTAGTTTATTTTTTGAAACATAAAATATAGTTGTTTTTAAGAACTATATAGTTTGTTTTATTTTTCAAATTTATTTTCAACAACTCAGAATTTTTGTTCACATCTCAAAAATAATCAAATTAAATTTTAGATAGATTTTTAGTAAAAAGGTTGAAACAATAACACCAATAAGTTGGATAAAAACAACGGAACGTATTACAAAGAATTAAAAAAACGCAAAACAGACAAGCCAGCAAACTATTATCTTTTTAAATAATTGAACTACAACAAACTGTGTTATAAAATGTATTAAAACTATAAGTAAACTAGTTTGTTATATGTAATGTATATATTAATTTATATATTCAATAACAATGACATTCAAGGTGGTTGAAATGTACTTGATTGTGAATCTGTTTTGGACACTCCAAGTACATCGCCAATACTAAAAATTTTATCGGCTTGAAAATATATGTCTCGGGATTTCTGATGTTTCTATTGCGTAAATCCCGAAAAATATAAAAATTATATATTCGATATAATATCTTATTTAAACTAGTTGTTATTTGTTAGTTGATTTGAGTAATATCCTTGTGCAGAAAAATGTTAAGAAAAAATAAAACGGGCATGACAGTCTTTTTTAAAAGACCAAACGACAAAAAAAGAAAAAAATAACACTGCCTAATAAAAAATTAACAGAGAAACAAGGAAACGTGTTAAGAACAAACAAATCTTTAAAATATAAACATGAGCTCAGACCCAAAGCTGTCCTTTTTGGACAATGGGAACAAATTAAAGTCCCCACTGGTTTATGATGGGTTTAAATATATATTTAGTTACTTAATTTATTATAAATGTGTCGGATGTAAGTCAAGACTTACAGTTGTTATTGATGTCGACGATAATATTATTGGAGTTAAAAATGTTAGAATTCATAATATGAATAAACATGGCTTTTATGATTTGGACTCTGCTAGATTGAATTCGATTAAAGCAATTAAAATAAAGACTTTAAAAAAACAATTACAAGTTGATCTTGTAGCAAATCCACGAACCAGAAACAGTTTGATTGCCGACCCTTACAAAGAACTGCAACTTTCAAGAAAACAAATATCTAAAATTAAAAGTAACGGAAAAGCAAAATATAACATTCCAAACACTTTTGATGAATTATTTAAACATAAAAATTCTCTAATATTGGCTTCTCGTGCCGACGAATTGATTATATTCGGTTTAAATTCCGGACTTCTTCTTTTGTCCAAGTCTGAATACATAATGGGAGACGGATCATTCAAAATAGTTAATGGAAAAGGACAGTTGTATATATTGCATGCTTTTATCAACGGAGTCGCTACATCATGTCTCTTTGTTAAAATGAGAAGTCGTAAAACTATCGACCGTATTGAAGTGTTTGGAGCGATTGAAAAATTAGCAGAAGAACGTGGAATCAATATATTTTGAAAACACAAAATTTTTATTGGAGATTTCGAAAAAGCTGTTATATCAACAATGGAGTCTTTTTTTCCATAAGTCCGGTTTCATGGATGTTTTTTTCATTTGACCCACAACGTTATTGAAAAATTAAAAACACCAAAAATTGGAATGTTCGATGTTTTTAAAAATAACAATGATACTTATAAATTTATTTGACGTATTCTATGTACTGCTTTTTTACCTTTTGAATATATAAACTGTAATACTTTAAATATGATTTTTGATTCTTACAGGGGTGTTGATAATGGTTTATTAACAACAGATTAAATTAACAATTTAAAATTGTATCTTATTAATACTTATTTTAAAACTGGTATAAAAATGCTATATATCCACCATCTGATTGGTATTGTTTTGGTCAACCAATTAGATGTGACAATTATTCCGAAGCTTCACACCGTATTTTGAATAATTTTATACACAAAAAGGTTGAAGTTGTGGCATTTTTTGATTTAATAATTCACACCTTAAAAGAAGATAAAGATAAAACTTTGAACCATAGAGTCACTGGAAATCCCATATCTCCCTTAATTAACAAAATACTAAAAATGGAAACTATATTATTTTTGGAAAAATAAGAAACAGTGTTGGATTATTTAGATCGAATTTCGATAATTATCCAACTCAAAAATGAAAATGAATGTTCAACTTTTTATTATACAAATTACAATGAATTATATTTACAACAACTCGCTAATAAAGTTGAACTCTCAGACCTTAAAGCACTTCAAATGGGGGAGTCAACTAAAATATCATTTGAAACTGTGTTCCTCGTTAAAGACTCGACTAGTGATAACTTAATTGGACCTTTAACCAATATTACTCTTGGTAACTGGGATTTTTTGAAATCTACCGAAGATCAGAAAAGAGTCTTTACCCGTGTTGACAACTACCCATTCGTAGAAGTCAATGATTTGTATTATTCTGTAGATGAAAATTTGGATTTGGTGTGCGAGTTTTACAAAAACCCATCAAAACACCGCAACGACGAAGATCTGTTTGTAACTCAACTTGACAGTGACATATCTCCAGTTGAAGACGAACACGTTGAATTTCAGAATGAAGAAGTAAACACTGTCGTCCCAGACACCCAACAAACAGATAATGGGTATTTATCAACGAACCCCCGTGTTATTTCTCCTCAAAATCCCAACGGTCAAAGACAACCATCTGAACCACAATTGTACACACCAATTCCTGTGATGCTTGTACCATTCCCTTTAACCTCAGAACAATCGAGTCATATTTTACAACTTCCACCTTTATCTGCAAATCAGGGAATACAGCAATTACCTCAATGGTCAATGCCATTAGCTCCAATGAATCCACAATGTTATCAATTTGGATTGCCTCTGGTTAATCCACCGAACATTCAATGACTCGAAGTTCTTCAATCATTTACAGTTCAGCTGTTGTTTATTCTATCGTCAATGAGCAGTCCCTTTATCGTTCTTGGCGATAATCACTTAATATTATTGTGCTGTTTGGACTTGTTAACGTTTTGTTTGTGTTGCATACATTATACACACACAACTCTAAACGTGTTCTCGCTACATATCCTGATCTCAACCAAATATGTTGTATTCAATGCTCGGTTAACATGATATTTTAAGTAACTGCCACATCCGAAGTCCGTGCCCGACATCTCAAAGCAAGTGAAGTTGGGTCTGATGATGTTCTTCTTGAAAGTGTTCGACAATGTATTGTAGTCAATATTGCCATTAATATTATGATAGCCTGCTATCATCTCAGTTGCGTGACTATTGTCAGTCCAACACTGATGTACTCTGTTGATATTTCCAACAAATTTCAAGTTGTGACCAAAGAACCACTTGCTACTAACATCACTTTATCTATGTGGCTCAACGAGTGGTAGAAATACCATTGCTGGAAATATTTTCATATCCATACAGATAATCATCATTTTTGTTTATAAAGAAGCCAGTTGGCGATGGTGACTTTTGTTCACAAGATCAAGTCAGCGAGTGTTGCTAGTGTCATGTCTTACGTCTAATGTACTTTTTGAGACTTGTGATTTTATGCTCACAAGACTTTAGTTTCTGTGGTGAAGAATGCTGGTATAAAGTTCCAATCAGTGATGTCGTTCCACAAGTGTGGTGGTAATGTTGGAGACTCTATAACGATTGAGATTCAACGATGGGCCCGAAAAGTTGGCGCTTTCAACGACGCATTCTTCAAAGACGCCGAAAACAACGTCGTCATCAAGTACATTTCTTTGTGATGACCAAATCATTTTCGAAGAAAGAATTTTTATTGAAATATTCAAAAAGATTTCATGGCGTCTTGCAAACAGAAGTCCCAGAGTTACATCGACGACGGAACACTCAATGAGATCCAAGTTGGTATGCGACCATGCGATGAGACAAGATACCCGTCATACCCACTCTCGAGATGGAGTTACTGAGGCATTGGAAAGTTACAATGCAGCGACAGCAAGTCACAGGAAAACTTGAAAATGCAGCCAACAGTACTGGGCACTCCGAGTGGGGACAGAACACAACTAATGCCGCTTAGATTTTAACAATTTGTCTTTAATTGTAAATAATATTGGAGTTAATGATGTCAAGTAGGGCCATTAATTTAGTTTTAATCACTTTGGAGATTTGAAAAGTAATACAAAACAGATTTTTTTTACTTATAAGCCATATACTATATTTATAATTGATTATAATAAAAATAATAAAATGTGATATTTTTGAAAGAAGTGTTAAATAAATAATATTTTTTTATCAAGTTTATTATGAAAAAAGATAAGTTAATAAATAAAAAAGTTTAATTTGATTAACTAAACAATGTTTTAAAAATTTAAATACACAGACCGACCTATTTTCTGGGAAATTAAATTAAAAATAAATCAAAAACCAAACATAGTATTTGTAAAATGTTAAAGAATAGTTATTTTTAAAATAGTAATTTAGTTTATTTTTAAAATGTTAGTTATATTATTTACAATTTAAACTATAATTGTATTAATAATTTTATTAATTAAACATATCATAAGATATTTAAATTGTTTATATTGAAAAATTTATAATAAAGTCTATAATTATTTTTTTAAATTATAAATACAATCAGTCTTAAAACATTATCTAGTGCCTTTTGGACCATTAAAATTGGAACATTTAGGGAAGCCGTCCAAATAATCCATCTCAATTGTTTCGGGTTTTTTCACGGTTTACCCAATGCCCAATGTTTAGACATAATTAAAGCTATTTTTTGTCCACCAGATAACGTCAAAAGACTGACTCTACTTTAAGAAGAATTAAATATATTGAGTCAAATAAAACAAAAAAGTGTAATAACACATTAATTACATTAATCAACCTCTGATATTGTTTGCACTTTATATTGCAATTCTTCAAAAATTTGGAGTTTAACTTAACCTCAGCTTCCTTCTGTTTCTGTGTGTATTCATTATTTGATGCCGATTGGTTCTTGTCGAGGCAGTCGAGTGTTCTATGATAATTGCTTCAATTGCCACCTTGTCGTCTGGGGGCTTTGCTGCAATTTGCTCGTTGAGTGTGTTATTACACAGTAGCAGAAAGTTTAAGTCAATTCTTCGCCTCGACAAGTTCCTTCATCTATTCGTCCTCCACCTTGAACTTCTCTGCGTCTGCAACTATCTTGTCCATATGCTCCTTCGAGAGTCTTCCATTGTCACTGGTGATTGTGATCTTGTTCAACTTACCTGTTGTCTTGTCTATAACTGAGATATTCAGAACCCCTTCTCGACTGGTGCGATTGTTGACTTGAAGAGGTCGATGTTGAGTTCTTCAAAACGCGCTCTTGTGAGTGATGTATAGAAATCGATGCCTTCATACAACTGGTTGATTTCAATGTTTGCTGTTGCTGCATTTGACAGTGTTTGCTTTGCCCTTTCACATGATGTTCTGAGTCTTCTGACTGCTCGTGCATTGCCTGAAATGTCTTTCTTGTACTTTCTTTTGAATTCGGCAATGAAATGGTTGACCATTCTATTATCAAAGTCTTCGCCATTAAGGTGTGTTGCCGTTTGTTGCCTTCACTTCAAAGACGCCATCGTCAATAGCAAGAAGTGACACATCAAATGTTCCACCACCAAGATCAAAGATCAAGACGTTCTTTTCTCTCTCCGTCTTCTTGTCAAGTCCATATGCTATTGCTGCTGCTGTTGGCTCATTGATGGTTCTAAGCACATTGATGCCTGCAATTGTGCCCGCATCCTTTGTTGCCTGTCGCTGTGAATCGTTAAAATAGGCTGGACATGTGATGATTGCGTTGTTGACTTTCCCACCAACAAACGCCTCTGCTGTCTCCTTCATCTTCGTCAGCGCCATCGAACTGATCTCCTTTAATGTGAACTTCTTTGTCTCACCCTTGTACTCCACCTGAATCAACGGCTTGTCATTGCCATTGTTGACGACAGTGAATGACCAGTGCTTCATATCCTCTTGAATTGTTGGGTCACTGAAGCGTCTTCCAATCAGTCTCTTTGCATCAAAGACTGTATTCTTCACATTCATCGCAATCTGGTTCTTTGCTGTGTCGCCAATCAGCCTCTCACTGTCTGTGAAGGCAACGTACGATGACTTGTTCTGTTGCCCTGATCATTTGCAATTTCCTAAAAATGGATTTCGCGTGCCTTTTAACTATAGTATCTTTATCTCTCCAATAGTCACTAATGCATCATTCAATGCTATCAAACACTCTGCATTTGTTTTCCCGTCTTCACCTTTAACACCAACAATCACAACTAAATGAGTTGCGTAAATGAATCTAACAAGAGGTGATGGTATACTATTACAACAGTACATAAAATCTGTCTAACAAATTTTGACAGACAGTTTCTCCCCAAATTTCTTCTCCACCCACATCGAGAACTTGAATATAGCAGCCGCAAACTTCTTCTCTGTTCGGTCATTGATCATAGATCTAAGTTGAGATCATCAGTAACAAGTTTCTTCCAGTTTCAAACGACTTGACATAAATCTCTTTAAAATGGTTTATCATAACAAGACTTTTTTCTCTTTTACCAAAAAGTAAACCTGCTTGATTTGATAAACTTGTTTGATTCAAATAAAAGTTTTCATTATACAATTAAATTTATTATAAATTATATCTTGAAAATTAAATTATAATTATTTAGTATATTAAATAATTAACAATAGTTATTGTATAGTTAAATACCCATAATATTAAATTATGTATGTATTTATTAATTTATAGTATATCTCTATTTGAATTAGAGGGTGAAGTTTAGAAAAAGGATGTCGGTTGATTCCTTAATCATTTCAATAGCCCTCCTTCCTGCCCATTCACGGTGATGGGTGGGTCGTTTTATAGTTTTATTTGATATTGTTGAAAATGATTTTTAATATAGTAAAACCCATTCCCGAAATATTACATTTTTGATACTGTTTTATCAATAAAAAAACAACCCGAAATATTTAAGCTTTTTTGACTGTTTTATATATAAAAATATTCATTTAAACAAATCGAATTAAAAAATGGTAATTAGTTTTTCAGAGCATCCCCGACATCCATGTAAGCAACTTTCTTTTCAACGCTCATGTTTGCTCTATCAAGTTGTCCAATTTTATTAAAAGATCTTTCAACTGGGCAAGTGGTTGGACTCTTACCATTCATCTTTTTCACTAGATTGAATAAACATGGGAATTGATTCTTTTCTTCTTGAGTCATCAGAGCAAACACAGTGTTCAAAGTTAATTTTTTGACTGGGCAACTCTTTAAGAAATCTTCTGCTTTTTTTGAATAAAGTCCTTATTTGCTTTCTCTGTTGAATGGCGTTTGCTCTCTTTTCTTTGACAATTTCACTACTGCTGCAATCTTCAGCGATATCTGTTGCTTCTGTTTGATCTGTACTTGTTAATCTCACTTGTTTAACAAGAGTACGTATCGCCTCAGTAGCATCAGCCCTTTCTTCTCTTTTCAACCTGTTTGCAATTTCTTCGACTTTTTCAATGTTGGCACAATACCAATCTTGAAACTTTGTAAATTCCGCTTTCAATTCTTGGTCATCACTTTCGTCGAATGATTTTGCATCAAAGTTGTTGTAAATTTTGATGTTTACTACCAGTTCTTTTCCTTTGAGTTTTCTTTGTAATTTTCCGAAATTTGCCATATTCGTTCCTTTGACCTGGTTTTCCTTCAACAATCCAGCATCGAAGATATCTTCTTTGGTCATTTTTCTTGAAGGAATTGCAAACCTCAAAATCATCGCGTCACTCAACTTTACGAGCAGGTGAATTGAATACTTTTTCAAAATGAATTTTTCGTTGTCGTCAAGTTCTTCAGTGTATTTCATTTTTTCTAAATAATCGGTTAACACCACCTTACGTCTGAGCTCGAAGATATTCGAAATTAAATCTTCAACACGTTGATAGGCCACGGGGTATAGTAAATTGGCGGTCTGTAGCCAATCGTTAATTATCTTCACCTTACTGAGCACTATTTGAGTGAAGAACATACACGCAACAAACAATTTGCAGTTGACATTACACTCACCCATAATGTTGCGAGGTCCAAAAGGCTTTTGGTATTGTTCTCTTTCACTGTAAAATTCTTGTAATGAAGGCAGATTCTCAAACATGTTATCAAGAATTAATACTGTTTGGAGCCACCTTGTTTCGGATCGTTGAACCAATTTGAGAACTGCACCTTTGATATGATTTTTGGCACAGAATTGATCCCATGCTGTTCTTGTTGTCTGAACTGTTAACCCGTCCAAGAAACTTTCAATGGCCAGCCCCCATTGTGATTCAAAACACTTTTCAGTCGCTTTATTTGTTCTGTGTGAAAAGCAGTAGTTTGAATCAAATCCGTTCAGCCCGTCTCTCTCTTTTATTTTAGCCAGGAGTTTACCAGAGAGCCCACCATTTCGTATCAGAACATAAGCTCCATCAAAACAAGCACCAATGCATTTAATGAGGTCAGCATCCATCAATTCCAATATTTTCATTATCCAACTGAGCCACCCCGCAGCATCTGTTTTGCCATCATAGTTTTTTATTTTGACTCTCTTTTCTTCAAATGATCCATCTGAAAACACAAATCTTACAAAGAGAGAAAAGTACTCAACACCACTGTACATTGCTGAATCGGCCATTAATGTATAATAGTCACATTACTTAAAGATGAGTTGTAGGTCATATCTGGATTTTTTCGAAATTAACACAAATCTCCGTTGCATAGTTGAAGAACTGAGAGCAGTGTTAACAACTTTTTTAGGAACATTGGACATGAGCAAAATTATGGATATCAATTTTGACATGGTATCAATTTGATTATTTGTCAACCCACACGTTCCCATCATCAATGCAGCCATCATCGTTATAAAGCTGCCTCTTTCATTTCCAGCATCATTTGTTGTTGAATAACTGTCAACATTTTTACCAAGTCGTCTTTGAACTTCTTTGTTGGTTTCTTGTGCGATATACTCGGCGGAGTATTTATTCTCTGGTTTGAGGAGCTCTTTAATGTGTTTCATTTTTTCCAATTGTTCGATCTCAAACACAGTGAATTTTATTTCTTCTTTGGTCGAATTGTTGGTATTCTGAGATTCGTTCTCTGTAGCCTGGCAATAATCAACATGTGTCGCATTTCTTGTTTGAATGGCTAGATGAGCGGAAATATCATTTGAAATAGCAGGAGTTTTTAATAAAGTTCCAGAGTCCACAATACCAGTTGAATTTTTTGAAACAACATCTTCACAATTAATAATAGGAACACTTAAACTTTTACTGATATTGTCGAGTGCCTCTTGTGTTGACTCGCTGTGTAAAACACGAGTATTTATTCGGAATGTGCGATAATCTATAAGTGGAAGAACACGAACAGATTATTCCAATCTTTTCAATAAATAATTCTTAAGGTCTTCAAATGAAGTATAACCTGTTTGTCTCAATTGTGACTCAAGTTCCTTCCTCACTTTCAACAAATCAGCACCTCTATAAATATTTGGTGCAATTTCCATTTCATTATCAGTCAAACCACTTGACTTATTTTTTCCTCTTCAACGAGCTGACTGTTGAGCGCAATTAAATTATATTTGTCAAAACTGTCATCAAAAAATTTAAAGTTGCCAACACTTTTAAATTTGTTTGTTTCTTCGGGTTTTGCTTCCAAAGAGTGTTTCATGTATTTACGTCTATTAAACACTTTTCCACAAAAAATACAATAATGAAATTCACGCAAACGATCGTGTGGGAGTTGCGCTTTTATTTCGAAAGTGTAAAAAGTACGGAACTCTCAAAAC